CTCTGTGACCTCAGAGCGTGTTCTCTCAATGGAGCGGATCAGCTCAGTAAAGATCCTGTCAGTGTCCTGTACTGCTGTGTGTGCAGAGCTCTGAGGGAGGAGTCACACAGTGGATTATTACACAGGAAAACACTCAAACTACATTATTCTGTATGCTGTGTTTTCTAAGGGTACTGTCCAATATCCAGCTGTGGAAATGTGTGCCAGTATGTCCACTGCTCTGGTCAATACCCACTCTGAGTGACTCTACAGCCTGTCTCAGCTCCTGCAGCTCCTCTCATCACAGAGACACCCCTTAGAGTCACCCTGGAAAATTCACACTCTGTATCCCTGATGTCTTATCCACATGATATGTGTTTCTTGGTCCTGTCTGACACGCTCCTGTTTCTTGTCTAATCTACACCGGCAGCGTGTGCAGCGCAGCAGAGCATGAGCCTCCACCTCCTGTTCGAGTTTTACACCTCACACCTGGGTCTGCACATCTGTATGTGAAGTGAAATATAAAAACACAGAAATTATATCTGAAACACAATCTAGAGCATTCAGTTTTCTAACAGCTCAATATTATGTCCTGACTGCTCTCTGCACCTCAAAACAGGATTTCAGCAGTGCTGATGAGCCCAGTAGCTGCTAGTTTCAGGATGGCCCAGGGCCAAAAGGTATACCGTGTCCCGTGTTGAAGATATAAAGTCCAGCTTTGAATTGTTTCTGCCAAAGGCTATTGTAAGGACAGTCCTAGATATGACAAACCTGGAGGGGAGACGTGTGCATAGCGATAGCTGGAGGGAGGTGGTCTGGTAGACTCTCAACCATACGTGGGTCTGTTGATTCTCTCTGGCATATACAGATCAAGGAATGAGGCCACCACCAGCTGATAGCATGCCGAGTCTGGTCGGGCCATTTTTCGGGCTACTATGTCAATCCTTTCATATTCTCTCAAGAGCCATTCGCTTTGACAAGCGGGACACAAGACCTGCTCGACGTCAACGAGACGAACTCGCTGCACTGGAGATGTCTGGGACAAGTGGGTTGAGCGCCTGCCACTCATTTACAGTCGTGGCCCGGAAGTCACTGTGGATGAGCGCCTGGTCCCCCTCCTAGGTCGCTGTTGTCAGGACTGCCAGTCATCAGAGATCAACCCACAAACCACAAACCACAAACCACAAACCAGTTCCAGCAGCGGACTAATTATAACACCCCCACTGCACGTGTTAAACCATCACCAACCTCTGTACCGTTGTGCACTCAGCTCTATTTAAACCCTCTAAACTGTCTACTTGCTGCTCGCTATTGACTTCTGTCCTAGAGAGCTCCTACCTTGCTCCTTTTTTGGAAACCTCTTGTACGACTACTTTTGGCTTTTTGAACTTACCTTTGCTCTTGACCACGAACTCGCCTGTCGATTCAGATTGGGCACTTGTGTTGTTTATGCCTCTACTCTCTCTCTCGTCTGCATAGGATCCTACTACTTCGTCACGTGGACTCGTTACAGCTGTCCTTCCCAACAATACATGTCGAGTAAACCAGGCAAATGTGGCATAAAGATCTGGGCAGCTCTACCTCCCCAGCAGCTGCCCCCCGACAAAAGAACAGACAAAAGGAAGAGGTGCCAGCTCTGTGCCCCAAGGGGTGTAAAAACCAGCATCGTACACCACAAATATAGGCACACGCCATCATTACCCACTGCATTCATGTGCGTGAACACACAAACACACACAAATGTCACTGTTCATTTTATCTAAAAGGCTTGTTGAATTTGTGATGTTTGCAAAATAAAGGGTCATTTGAAATTTGTGACTCTGTCTTTTCATTGTAGATAACATCATATGGTCAGTTGTGACTGGAAACATAACAGAAGTAAATATGTGGCACCTTGCAAAATTTGAAATGGTTTCAAAACTAGTATCTTGGCTAAACCTTGACATAATCTAGTCTTTGATAATCACTCAACATGTTTTCCTCAGGTCTTTACTGTAGTCAAAAAAACACATAAATTGTACTTATTTTACTCAAAAATGAGTAGCATAACTTCAGGTAAATTAGGTCTATATACCATAAGTTCCAAAAAGAAGTGCAGAACTTGTGATAATGACTAGGAATGAAGTTGTAACTTAATAAATATTTATAATTACTTAATAAACAATAAAATTGGAAACCCATTTTTGGGTGTGAACATCACCAATAGAAAGCTGTCTTTTACATGGGCTGAAGGGGTGTTAGGGTGGTAAGGAAGCACCAATGACATGCACTTGTGAGGCCAGGAGTTCCTAATCGAGTTAATGCTACTTTAACGCTCTGTAACTTTGACTACTGTAATGCTCCGCTCGGTAGGGTATCTAAACCCAGACTGAACAAATTTCAGCATGTCCAGAATTTGGCAGCCAGAGTCTTCACCAGGTCTAGTGCAAGTGATCCCATTACTCCTGTCCTGGAGTCCCTGCACTGGCTTCCTATCAGGTTTCGTGTCGACTTCAAAGTCCTCATGCTCCCCTAAAAGTCTCTGCATGGCTTGACACCCCAGTACCTGCCAGAGTTACTATCATCCTACTCGCCACCTCACAACCTTCACTCTTCTAATTCTGGTCTCCTGTCTGTCTCCCAGACCAGCACTCTGGGTGACAGGGCTTCTCCTGCTGCAGCCCAGAGCTCTGGAATTCTATCCCTATGGATATCATAGAGTCACCTTCCCTGTGCTCTTTCAAATCCAGACTCACAATCTACTCTTCATTAAGAGCTTTAATTTAACTGGGTCTGTTTCTGCCCCTTTGCTTTTCTGCCGTTTTTCCAAACCCCATTCTACCATCTCTTCTTAGTATGCATTTTTCTGCACAGTGCTTTGAGAAGCCATTTTAAAGGTACCATTTAAAAATAAAGTTTTTTTTTATATTAATAATCCTATTGTGGTGAAATTAAAGAAGGACTTCATTAGCGAGGGTGCAGTCTGTTCTAGAGGTGTTGAGTGTGCTATGCATTAATGAGGGTGCAGTATGTTCTAGAGGTGTTGAGTGTGCTGTGCATTAATGAGGGTGCAGTATGTTCTAGAGGTGTTGAGTGTGCTGTGCATTAATGAGGGTGCAGTCTGTTCTAGAGGTGTTCAGTGTGCTGTGTAGTTGTACAGCTTCATCGGTGCTACATGAGGACAGTAAAGAGCGAAACAGTGAAGGTGAGGAGGAGGAGGAGATAATGAACAACAGACAGAAGAAAGGAGACACAACCTGAGTGGATCACAGCTGAGTACATAAGCTGGACTCAGCAGTGGAGAGATACAGCATTGCAGATACAGTAAATACAGTCCAGAGATCAGTTAGAGCCCCAAATATCCTAAATATCCATTTTACATCTTGTACTAGACACTAAATGCAGACTCAGAGTCCTCACCTGTTTCTCAGTCCTTCCTGCTGCAGCTGAGGCAGTATCATGGCCTCTGTGGTCATCCATTGCACAGAGATAACAAACACACTTCTCATCAGTACGGCAATAGACCTCACACAGTTTGTGATGAGTGGAGCAGGTCTTCTCCTGCAGTTGTCCTGTGGCATCAGTCAGCTTGTGTCTCTTCAATGGAACAGCTTCATAGTGAGGCTGGAGGTGAGTCTGACAGTAAGAGGCCAGACACACCAGACAGGATTTCACAGCTCCCCTCTTTCTCCCAGTGCAGACATCACATAGCACGTCTCCAGGGCCAGCAGGACTGTTAGCAGGTGGAGGTGGAGGTGGACTGCACCCTGTCTCCTTCAGTTTCTCCACCACTTCAGCCAGGATGGTGTTTCTGTGAAGATCAGGTCTTGGAGTGAAGGTCTGTCTGCACTGGGGGCAGCTGTAGATCCCAGTCTGATCTTCCTGATCCCAGTGGTTCTTAATACAGCCCATACAGTAACTGTGTCCACAGAGCAGAGTCACTGGATCCTTCAGCAAATCCAGACACACTGAACAGCTGAACTGGTCCTGAGAAACTGAAATACTGCCTTCTGCCATTTTTCTGACAAGTAAAAACTGCACAGAGAGGAGCAGTAGAGACAGAGCTGCAGTGAGTCTGTTTCAAGTGAAACGAAACTGATCTCTGAGTTTCACTTCCTGGATCTGCACAGAGCTGTAGGGGTGTGAGTTTTCGGGGGTGTGGTTGTTAGGGGGTGTGATTAAGGTTATTAGGGGGAGTGGTTTAGAAACAGCTGTGATTTCTTTGGTGGTTGTTGTTTGAAAGAAGGTGTGGTGTTGTAGGGATGTGACTTATCGTGTCATATTGCACTTTTTAATGTTTTAATGTCAGTAGCTGCTCATATACAGATATTAATGTGAAGTCAGTCCAGTGGTTTGTGTTCCCAATAATCAAAACAATAAAATACTAACTCACCATGAGAAGATCAGAGCATGATGGTGACAAAGAAGAGGAGGCCAGCTGGCCCATCCAGCTATTTTAACAAACCCCTGATCTTTGTGTGAGATTATTATTAGAAACAAAGTAATCTGACTATCTCATCACGTTACTCTAAAGTGTTGTGGAACCTGTTTCACACACCCACCTCTGTTTGTGTAAACTAGTACTCCTGTGACAGAAACCTACTTTCTTGTCAATCAAATGGGATCCTTAATACAAACACCAAACTCCAGGATTACTCACTTTGTCCTTTTCAAGAGTCCAAGACAAGCCATCGTCAAAAACCAGACTTTCAAATCGTTCTCAAACAAAAGACCCCTAACTCCAGATGGAGGCACTCAAAACGCGCAGTATTTCTTCTTAATACAGTAAAGGTTGTGCGGTGCATTGCGGTATGCAGTTTGCTGGCCAAAGATTATCAATAAGTGGCTCTTATTGTGCATTAGATGTTAGTGAAACACCTGCTTCATTGAATCTCTATCTCTGCTGTGCATGTTTAAATCCACTTTACATGGAATATTAAGATGGAATTGTACAACTAAAGGGAAATTGTGGTAGTATTCTGGTAAAATCAGAAGTATACCATAATTTATACCTAATGTAATTCAGATTTCAGCAACAAGTAATCAAGAAATAATTTAACTTTAAATTTTGAATATAAAACATGTAAAGGGAAATGTTGCTAGTAAAACAAAAAATCAGAAGTGGAACATGATATGGTGGATGAACATAAGAAAGTATAACATAATATATACCTCATGTAATTCAAACTCCAGCAACAAGTAATCAGGAAACAATTTAACTTTAATTTTTTTATTAAAAATATATTTCACACATACCGCACTATAGTGGTTTTAAAGCCATACAGTCTCATATGTAATATATACCTCATGTACATGCAGTAGATGGTAGTGGTAGCTAAATATATAAAAAAGTACACAATATTCCACCATCTTCATAAATATTTTATGCATCAAAGTCTTTAACTCAGTAATGTACGGTGGTTTAATTCACTTGTTCTATGTATATGAAGTATATATTCTTCATTAAAAAACTATAATGTTTTATCCTTTTCAAAGAATTTGTAATAAGAACACTTGCTGCCATTGTTATAAAAAAGGTGTAATACTGATTTAATACCACATTATAGGGAATATTCATATGGAATTAATATTAATATGGAATCCTGTAACTAGAGAAAATTGGACAGTTACAAATATCACTTGTGGATATTTTGACATCCATATTTAAATCTCATTATAGTGGTAATGGATCAATAAACTGTAATGTAGGGTACTGTCCCCGGATGGCAGTTTAGTGCAGTAGTTAAGACAAGTGGTTGCTGTTCTGATGAATGTAGTTCAAGTCCTGATAATCACCAGGTCTCTACAACACAAATTAAACTTTTAATATTAATAATATTACCAGTGGGACAGAGAGCTGGGAGAGAGTCAGTCTGTGTTCATGAGTCACTGACAGGCTTAATCTCCACACTGACAGCAGGCAGCAGCTCAAGGTCTTTATTACGATCCCAGGTACCGAAGACAGGATAGATCTTCTCCCCCTGAGTGAAGACCATGTCAGTGAAAGTGTAGAGATGAGCTCTGGACTCCACTGTGTAAAAGGAGACCTTCCTCTCCTCAATATCCACACACACCCAGCTTCCTGGGCTGCAGACTGAGGGGGAGACGAGTCTCAGTGTCTGTGAGAGCAGAGAAACCTGTAGAGTCAAAGTCCAGACACCAGTAACCCTGCTGGGGAGAGAATCTGAACCAGTCTTTCCTCTCTGCACACTCTCTGGTCACTCCTATTCTCCAGCTGTCATTCACCTCCACCTCCCAGTAGTGTCTCCCTGAAATGAAGGACTCCCTACTCAGGACACAGGGCCAGGAATCAAATCTGTGAGGATTGTCAGAGAGCTTCTGTTCCTCCACATCCTCATCACCATCATCACTGTCATCGCTGTCATCACTGACGTCACTGTCATCGCTGACATCGCTGTCATCACTGACAATGCTGACAACGCTGAAAACGCTGACATTACTGTCATCACTGTCAGAGAGATCCTGTTCCTCCTCTCCCTTTCTCACTCTCTTCCCATCCTCAGACAGGCTGAGCCCATAGTGAGCTGTATCAGGGTCCAGAGTCACAGCAGCTGGGGAATAAAACAGCAAACATCACAACAGGCTCCTGCCGATTACATTCCAGTTCAACTCAATTATACTGTGACATGTCTTTGTCCCCTAAACACACCAAGAGTGAAAAGCAAGTAAATTACTGTAGCGATGGCAATAATCATGCAGACGTGTGGTAGTGGAATTGTTCTTTTATTGATTATAAAAGCATAGTATGCTTAAAAGCTGCTCTCCCTAGCAACACCATCTATCCCATCATACACTACTGAGGCTGACATAAGCGCCTGATGAAGGCGCTACATTACTAATTACTTCTCTCCCCTGCCAGAGAAAGAACATATTCTGTTATTGTTTCACTAAGTATCAGACATCCAAATGATCCCCAAAATCCTCTTAATATTCTAGCGCTCGTGGGGTTGGTGCAGGAATAATCAAGACAACGTTTTTGATTGCAGACACACTTGCAGACAACGGAGAAAATAGGAGTAAATGATTAACTCCAGTTACATAAAGTGTTATAGTGACTATTCATACCAGCAAGGTGACCCTCAGAACATCCTCCGATTACAGTTCCCAGCCTGCACAGCAACACAAGAGAAACTACAGCTGGACCACTCGTTTTCAAATACTTCAAAACCCACCACAATGACCTGTATACTGTAAGAAACTAGACAACCTGTCTTTTAAAACGGTTAATTTCAAATCCCAGTTCAACAGCTCGTTCATCTTCCATTTTCCTGATGATGCAGAATAAAAAAGTGCTGTATTCAAAGAGTGTATAATGGTGAATTGTACAGAAAAATGTAATGGCAAAAGCAAAACCTTGCTAAAATGTAAGAAAGCCATCACATGTACTTTGAAAATGCCAAGAAATATTCAAAATAATCAATTTAAACCAGAAATAACACATCAAGAAACCCAAACAGAAAGACAAGAGAAACAGAGGCGCTCATACTGACTTCAGACTGCTCGCGCTCAGCTGTCCGCCTCTCTGATAGGAGACAATACGAGCAGTATTAACTCTTAATTCTTAATACTGAGAGAGAGTTATGAACAAGACTGGACACTGCAGCTCTGAAGCCAACATGACAGATATTTCATACTTATTCTGTATAGAACAGGACACACTGACTTATTCCACAGGAGAGTCTATCAGTCTGGAAACACACAACCTCTAGAATCAGTGGTTCTCAAACTGTGGTTCGCGTACCGGCAGTGGTACGTGGCGTGCTGCCAGGTAGTACGCCAAATGACCCTTTAACTGTGTTGTGTGCGCTGAAAAAATCGGACGGGTTTTCATATTTTGTATTTTTATACGTGTCGAATACGCAGCCTACATACTACGATACAGTGCGCGCTAATACTTCAGTAGACACAAGAGATACTCTGTAGTTCTATACCAGTCTATAGGAATGCGTGCTACGGACGCAAGTGACCAATTGTATTTTAAAAAGCTACTGTATCTCCAGCAAATATGGAGAAAGGAGAATGTGCGTGATTTTGGAACAATGCCAACGTTGTAAACACAGGAATGCATAGAAATGCGTGCTACGAACGCTGGTAATCTTGTGAGCACAGGAAAGCGTGAAAAATAACAGAGAAATATTTAAGAACTGTTCTAAGTTAATTTGAGAAAAATACACCGAGCGTCTCTGTGTTTCTCTCCCATGCGCATGAAATAAATACTTAAAATAAACACTGAAATAAAAACGGAAACGTGGAAAAATGCGTGCTTGCGGATGGCTAAAGCAGGTAAGCCCCACACTATTATGTGTGGAGAAAAAGCTGCTGAACAGCTCGACCTGCTGCCCCCCCGAAAGACACAGTCATTCATAGAATTATTGAAATGAAATATTATATCAAAAGTACGCTGACAGCACGCGTTAAGATGAGCAGATGTTGTTCACTGCAATTAGATGAGTCTGTAGTCGATTTGGCCAATTTGCTCGTTTACGTTAGATACGAGTTTGAGGGTACGTCCCGTGAGGACTTTCGGTTCTGTAAGCCGCTACCAACAGGAACTACAGGAGAGCACGTATTTCAGCTTCTGAATGAATTTATCAAAGAGAATGGCATCGACTGGATAAAATGTGTCGGAGTTTGTACAGACGGTGCTAGAGCAATGACAAGCCGACACAGCAGTGTAGTTGCATGAATTAGAGAGGTTGCTCCAGAAATTAATGGTTTCATTGCAACATTCACCGCGAGACCTTTGCCGTCAAGAAAATGCCTGACGATTTAAAATCTGTTAGACTGTTGTGAATTGTATCAGGGCTCGAAAAATTAATTCACATCTGCTTTGCTCGACTAAACAGGCTCACCCCTCTCACTGAAATGATGCTTTTTTATTTTTATGTTGTTTTTTTTCTGTAAAACACGTTTATTATTATAATATTTATTATATGTATGTGTGAGTGTGTGTGCACATGCGTTCATGTTGGTCATTGATAATTTCTGGGGTTCCTATGAGATGATGACTTGTAGGTGGTACTTGGATGCTTTGGTTGGATTAGGGGTGGTACTTGGTCCAAAAAGTTTGAGAACCACTGCTCTAGATCACTCATGTTTGAAATGAGGTCCCCAATTTCACAGGCAAACACCCCAATACACACTCACTCTGGTGGGACTAATGAAATAATATTGACACTCCAGTGTCATTCTTAGTGAAACACACCACTGGGTTTCTTAATGACCAGGACCATGTAAGAACACCAGCTGGGCTGAAGAGAAAGACCCCAAAGTTATTACCCCTGGCCAGTAAGAGGAGCACTACAGCCCCAGTAAATACCCCTCTTAATCTAACCATGAGCACCTGACTCTGACATGTCTGAGCTGTGCTGAGGAAAACAGGCCACAGAGACACTCCAGACATATTTCTGGAAAAAAATAATCTAAAGGAGCACATGCTCTGTCTTTTGTACACATGAAGTACAACACTCTGTCAGTGAGCGTTCCTGGGTTAAATGTGTGTCGTTTTTACCATTTCTGTGACAAGTAGAATTGACACAGCTTTCCAAACGTCTGTTACTCTTGATGTGAAACTGCAGAAACATGTCCTGTACAGGGTGTTTGCTCACTCTTTAAACACTGAACAGAATACATTTACAATGACTTATCCCTCCTGTTGTCTTCCTGTCACTGTTACTGTTGGTCCCAGTAAACAGCAAGCCAAACATCTGTACTTTTTGACTAAAGGTCTGTATGACTAAAATGTTCTAAAAGGTCTGTTTTAGTGAACTAAAAGGAAGACTTATGTGGCATTACGCAGGGGTATGCCCAGTGTGGAGCCAGAGCCTAGGTAGATGCCTCGCCTTTGTAGTCCCAGCAGTCTTGGCTTTTAGCTGATGAGCTGATTTAGCTGGGATTGGTCCTATAAAGGCACTGCTTTTTCACTCTTCTTGTATTATTTTTGGTCCCTGCTAACGTCGCAGGATGTGGGCCGTTGAGGCAGTTACAGGCTGGGATTGATTGGGTTATGGAGATTGCCAGGATGGTGTCAATGTTGTCTCTCACCCAAAGACTTGCAACTTCAGTTGTTCTAATGAATACAGTCTAGCAGGAAACAGTCAGGAACAACTCACTCAGGAAGTAATGAGAACTGATGATTGGGGGTGTGAGGAGTCGCGGAAACAGTTTTAACCAGACATACAGAGGAACAGGGAGAGCAGGAGAGTGAACAAAGAAGTGATAAGAGCCCATAACATCTAAGGTCGGCGCTCCCACACCCCTCAAACAACACAAGCTTCCTCCTGGTATAATACTGGGCAAAGCCATTTCCAACAGGGACAGCGGAGAACCCCCTGAGGGGGATTGGCTAAGGGGAGGAATAAAAACATCTGAGCCGGAACAGAGTGGGCTCCTGACTCCCACAAGACCCTGAAGACGACACAGACAGCACAAGGGAAGCTGCAGAGTGCGAGACCACGGGGGCAAGGAACTATTGGTCTAGGAACTGATGACTACGGGAGACACTGGCATTGGAACATAGGTAGTGTACATAAACTTTTAAATCTCTTTAGGAAAGGAACAAAGAAACCATCCCAGATAGCTGATACAAACCAAGGGAAATGTAGCACAGCCCATGGGAGGATTTCTAGTCATACCCTAATGGAGACTGGGGAAGTTGGACTGAGTAGTATCCCTCTCTTCTAAGTGTCTGCTCTCCTCTGAGCCATCAAAGACTTTCACAGATAGAAGAAAAATTCTAGTGTCCTCTCTTCAGCACTTTAAGGAAAAGGATAGCTGACACTCAGGAATTCAGTACAACCCTTGGAAGGACCTTTTGCTGCAGCAGATGCTGTTTTCACTGTGTCATTGGGTGATGGTGAATGTGAATGTACTTAGAAAATAAAAAGGGCACTTATACAATACAAATGCTTGTCGCTGGTCTGTGTGTGCATTGGTGATTCTGGGAGATAAACAGAACCTGTGGTAATGTAGAGGGGCCCTAGCACCCCATTTGTATTGCTACAGTAGGTGGCGTCATCATATATATGAGGCAGGAAATGATTCAGCTCACTGTGACACTAGCACATGGAGCGTTGACTGTTTACCAGTGCTCTCCGCAGCTACACACGGATACACCTGTCTCTACATTCATCTGCACAAACAGACACAGAAATACTGTTTCTTCACCCTTCAAATACACCTCTCCTGCATTTCACTGTCTAAATTATCAGCATACTGTAATCTAAAAGCTTTTTAGACCTTTGTGATTAAAGATTTAACAACGACTAACAATAACATGAAACATTCTTGTTTTGGCAGGAATCCAAGAACAACCAGAAGAAGGTTCCACAGCCAAAATGTTGTGTCTGTTTTCTTCTCTTTTCAGCAGGAATAAACCTTAACTTGTTCCTTTGCGGCCTATGCATGCTGACGCTACTACCTACAGTACCTGAACTACTAAGAATTTATTACCCTTGATCTAGGAATGGTTCCTCAATTCAAACAAAATATCCCCAATGATTATAGTAGCATTTTTTTCACACATACATTCTTAGATACACAGTCACACTGTGTAAGAAGATAAAGACCTGTCTGACATGGAAACACAGGAGCTAACTTTACTCCCCTTGCCCTGTGAAGTCACCCCAATATCTGAGGTAAAAACTCCAATCATTGCTGACAGTAGAGAATAATGAACTGATGTTGAAATGTCTGATCTATTCTGAGTCAATCACACCACTGAGTCTCTTATTGAGCCCACATCACTGCAACCTGTCTCAGTAGAGCTCACAGCTCTCAGATTTATTCCCCAGCCCAGTAAACAGACTCCTTATTGATAGATAAACACCCCAACACCCCTCTCTTACCAGGACTAATACGACACCTGATGGTCAAGTAAAAGATATAATCCCCAGTCTCTTTCTGACTAGACTCGAGAGCTCATTCAGGACACACAGATATGCCCCTGTCCTAGGAAGAGCCCCCCCTTCCAAGATAATAACCCTGGACTGAGAGGCTATAGGCATCTGCCCCAGATCTCTTGGTAACCAGACAGGTGTGGTGACACCGGTCCATGAAGCTCAAATTACATAATTACACATTAGAAATGTTGTGGATATTCCATATCCATATATGTTTACATTGCATTGACATTTATAATTACGTTGCCTTGAATACCTATGAATCTGTTAAAAAAATTAATGTTGGATGGAGTCAAAGATACTACCAATGTACACTTCATCAACGAAACATTCGAGAGAGAGAGAAAAACAGCTGAAGCTAGACTACCTGTAATTCCAACACAGTGCAGTTGATTAAAACCGGACACAGGCGGCTAGACAAACAAAGATCTCTGTTTATTGTGGCTAAACAACCACAATACTTTACATATGTCTGTGTCATCAGCTAGCTATTGTGCATATGAAAAAAACAGAATATATTCTACCACAGTGATTCTGCGTTGAAAATCACCGTAAGTCCTTCCCTCTCACAACAAAGATGCCTTCTCTCCTAATATGAATGGAAAAATGATGTTGAGTTTTTCTATTGTTTTGTTTGTCCAGACAGAACAAGTCCTGACTGTTCCTACCTGCTGACCCATCAGCCTGGCTGACATGTGAAGAGAAGCAGCCAGTTCTCAGACAAGAAAGAGGCCTACAGACCCCAGAGGAGCCCCTGTACCAGAGTCACACTGCTGCCTCTCACAAGAGGCTGTGTGTCTGTGAAGCTGCAGGGGAAAAGTACTGTCATTTTACCATTATTTTTCCCCCCCAGTATTGTACAGTGTGGCTGGCTTGTTATTGTTAAACTGGCTCTGCTCCCGATATCCCACAGTTATTAACAAATCCAGTGTCACAGACTCTGCCACTTCTGACAGATGGAGAATAGCAAAGCAACTTCCCAAGAAATTCTACACCTGCTTCTGGGACACCCCAGTGGCAGACCTGGTGGAGGTGGAGCAAGAACTCTTCCGCCAGGGAAAACTCAGAAATACGATGAGAGAAGGTTTCATCTTCCTGCTCTGCAACTCAAAAACTGGAAGCTGGTAACATAGCTCTGTGTGGACATCAAGATCCTGAACAAGCCAGTGCCCAGCAGACTGAGGACCTCCCTGCCCCACATCATCAAGTGTGGAAGGGTGATCTGTCAGCTGGAACCTCCAGCTCCCCTGTGACAATAACCGAAACGTGCCCGTGATGAGCCTGGACCAGGAGAAAACCTTTAACAGAGTAAACCACAGCAATCTGTTCACAGCGCTGGAACACTTCAGATTCTGAGAAAGCTTCATCTGCTGGATAGATACTGTACTCTGAAGTTGGCCAAAGGGGTGAACAGACATCTTTGGAATTTCATCCCTCAGGAATCCAGTACGATAAAAGTTTCATGTTTCACCTCTTCTCTATGGTCTCATTATAGAACCATTGGCAGAGGCACAGGGGTCCTCAAGATCTCCCAGTACACATGACGCTGTTCCTGATTTCAGACAGGGGGTTGCAGAGTGGGCTGCAGTTTAGGGAGCAGTACTCCAGGGCCTCAGACTTGAGGCTGATAAACAGAAGGAGCAAGGGCAAGCTTTTTGAACCCTGGAGGGACAGAGAAATGGCGCTAGAGAATGTCAAGCTTTGCATGGAGCCCCTAATGATACTGGTGGTTTCATTCCAGAGCAGGGACAACAAGTACATAAACTGGACAGAGAGGACCGTCAAGGTGAACGTGTAACTGGGCCTGTGGAAGACTCGCTCGCTGACTCTCATGGGGAAAGTGAGGGTGTTGAAGGCAGACACCCTGCTGGCTTTAGCTGACCTGGTCGTGGTGTGCCCTCTGTTAGCCAGACTCAGACGAGGGCTGCTAGGGATGGCAGAACAGGTACGAGTACATCACAAGGAACCAGATGTGCCAGCCGTTGAGGAAGGGGGGAGAGACGTGCCGAATTTCCCCCTGAAACTCCACTGCATCTTCTTCTGCAACCTCTGTCACTAGGGGCTGGACCCAATCGGTCACAAGTACCAGTAATTGGTCAGGTTGTGGTTCTCCCTCCCAGTGAAGCACCTGATCCAGTGGTCCAACACTGGGCCCAAAGCAGAGAAGCAACCGGATACCTACACCCACACCGTCAAGTGGAGCAGGAGGTATAAGGCCTCAAGACAATCAGAGCATGGTATCAATAAAGGGCCCTGTACAAGGAAGGGAAGGAAAGAACTGGTCACCAGGGAGAGGCTGACGATCCCACAGGACACCAATGTAAGGACTCAACCCAAAAAACTAGACAACATGCTGAAGGCCCTCAGCTGGATGACTGTGCACCAGAGCTGGTGACCAGAGAGGTCCTTCACAGGTACTCGCTCACCAGGAAATCGCAACGCCCCTGGGACACGTGTTTCATAGAGGAGACGCAGGAGCACTTGTTCAAGAGCTCGACCTTCACCAGAGCAGTGTGGGACAGAATGGACAACTCCTGGGAGGGGGAATGGTTATGAGCTACCATCCATAGTGACACGCTCGTCCAGCACCACACAGAGAGAAAGGCAGGAGAGGTGGAGGAGAGGATCCTCATGAGCCTCAAAGGCAGAATGAAGCACGACGTAGCAATGTAGCCTGGTGGGGTTTCATCACAGCAAAAGAGCTCTGGACAAGTCTTAGGGCCCCATAAAGGGGCTGAAGAAAACCCAGAAAAACTGTTCCTTACTGCTTCTGTTGAGAAATATACAATCGCAGTTTCAGAGCCGGGTACTGCAGCCAGTGGTAACACATAGGAGGCTTAGAGGGGCTCTTATTGTGTGAACCAGCCTCACTGACCACTTGCAAAATAGAAATACTGATAATGGACAATCACTCTGTTTAAGACATTTTACATTCTGTTGAAGTGTTGTTGTTAGAATTGTATTCTTTGTAAGAATTGTGCAGTAGACATTGTAATAAAGTGCATTTTCTCAAAAAAATGACCCCACTGGATTTTCTGTCTCTGTCCATCTGTGTGTTTCTTACACAGTGTGACTGTGATGCACACAGAGTGACTGTCTGCAAGCTTGACTTTATGAATTCAGACATGTATCAGAAAGTATCAGAGTGTGAATCAGTGTGTGTGTCAGAGTGTGTATCAGTTTATGTATCACTGTTTCTGCTGTGTGTTTGAGCTCCAGGTATATTTCAGGGGAGAGCTGTTGTAGACTCACAGTAGAAAAGATCTGCTCTGGACCTGGGCTCTGGAGTCTGCAGAATGCAGGCTTCAGTCACAGGGGAGACACACAGAGAAATGTCTCATCAGGGCTGCAGTAACAGAGTAACGGGAATAACATGTTCTACTAGACTGGGACTGTATCTCCTAGTGTAACAGAACTGATCTACTGTACTGGGTCTGTAGCCACTATTTTAACTACTATATTGGGACTGTAGCCCCTGTGAAAGCTTCCAGATATTTGAGATATTTGACCTAGAAATTAAATTATTGACTGATAAACTGTTTTGATAAATACATTCACTGCACAGAAAATCCAGTAACAATATAAGAGAAAAACAGGAAATATGTAAGCTATCCAGAAAGATATCAGTGTGTTTCTCCACTAACCTGTCATGGAAATCTTTATTGATTCCTTTTTGCAGATGTCCTCCAGTCGCTCTTTCAGTGCAGAGACAGCTCTCCTCACTGCCTCAGGAGAGAAGTGTGGACTGACAGGGATGCTGGGTGAGT